GTCTCCAATTATTAGAAACAATGGATAGCACTTAGTAGGTGCTCAGCAAATATTTTCTGGAAGTTGATACAGTTTTTCAATTTTATAATTTAGACTTTGAACAGATGGGTCCTAGTCCATTCAAACTGCGTTGCTCACGTAAGTCATGCGTTTGCTACTGGTAACTTACAGTAAAAATATTTCGACCACGACTTGACCAAAAATAAACGTTACTGAAATGATCATTCACTTTGTTTGAGAAATTGTTGGTCGTCCCCCCGCACCCCCATGGCTCAGTAATCACCCCGTGGAATTTCGTTCTGCAGACTCTATTGACGATGGCAATGCACATGTTCATAACAATCATCAGGGCTTGTTTTAATAGAACGTTCCACGCATTAAACACATTAATGACCCATGAAATAACTGTGTTATCTGTAACACATTAAGCAACATTGCTAAAACAAGGTATTAATTGAAAGTCTGCTATTTCTCTTAAAGGGAGACTTTTCTGAGTCTAGAAATGGCAAGCCAGTCATTTTGTAGAAACAAAATATAATTCGACTTCAAAACCAGAGCCATATACCAAACGACTGTCTGAGACATAAAAATATCTACCATAAGCCTGATCATTTCAGATGTCTTACTCTGGTATATTTCCATTTTCTTCTGGTTGTCAAAAATGACATCTGTTTAGATTATGACTTAAGTGTTTTATGAATATTTTAAAAGCTTATCATTTTCTCCTCTGCATGCTCGTCTCCTACAGGACTTTTCTCTCTTTCTTTCCTTAACAGACACAAAGCGACCATACTCAAATATACCCCCCCTTCACTTCCATCTTTTTCAATTTTCTAATACTATGTTTGATATTACCAGGGCACCCGTGTGGCATTTTTCTATAAACATGTGCTACCACAATTAAATCCAGAGCCCATGCCCAACAGAAAATGTCAGTCCTCCAAACAGGAACTATAATGCATGAAGAAAACGCCCGGGAATTATCAGTGTGTTTTATAAATTCTCTTTGGGGGCGGGGCCTACAAAACATCAGACAAGAGACAATTATTTTACTGTCTGTTCCTTGGCTATCAAAGGGAATTTTGAAATTCATCAAAGCTAACCTTCTGTTATGTACAACAGGCTAAGCTGAAAAGAATGTTAACAAGTTCAATTTTCATTCAATCAGCACTCCTGCTCTCTGAAATGTTTCATTGCAGGAAAGAAATAAAAATAATCTATATGGTAATTATGAGGATGAATCCCCCAGTAACTTTCAGCTACATGAAAGGTCAGTTCTATTCAAGATATTTTATCAGTTCCCTGCACATACTCCTGTCCTGTCATTTTAAATCTGAAGAGCATTTTATTTTCCCATTTACAGCTACCTGCAGAATTAAGTACTTAAGCCAAATAAGGGAAAGGGGAGAAAAAAAAAGAATGTTGAATGCTGGCAAAGGCTATAATAGCATAGAGATAAATCGTTCAGCGGCTCTCTCTCAAGCCTCTAGGGCTGTAGATTTTTCTTCTCCTGGTGCACTGTGGGTATTCAAAACTTGTTCAACATGATTTCATTTCATTTCAGGCACTGCCTGAGAAAACTAAATTACAGAATCAATCATACAGAAGGTCAGAGTGAGACTTCATTACAAGTATTGCATGCTTGCATGAATATCTTTCATTTATGACTGACCCAATATGTCACAATAGCTGTCTAGTAAAAATAATCCACTTTCTGAAATTGATGTACTACTGATGTCGATGCTACTCGGCAGGCCGGCAGATTATAGAGAGGTGTTAAAAAAAAAAACCCACAAAAGCCCTTTGGCGTGCTGCGTGTAGATTTTGCAGATTGCAATCTTTTGCAGATTAAAATAATTTCCAGATGATCATCTGAACTGGCAATAATGCGTAGAGGTAAGGAATTTTTTTTTTTAACCAAAATGTACCGTTGCTCTCTACTCGTCAACCGCACGCTGCTTTGGAATACAGGTATCCACCGCAAGCAAATTGAGGTTTTTCTTTGAAGTCACACAGGCACCAACTTTCCATTTTTTCCACAATTTGCTTTAGAATACCGGAGCGTCATTTGCATATTCCGAAATGCGAATGCTGATTATGAGACTCATGGCTTGTTTGTTTTTAAGTTTTGTGTTTTTTTATTTATTTTGAATTTGTACTGAATTTATTGGGGTGACTGGTGAATACCATTACATAGGTTTCAGGCGTACAATTCTGTAATGCATCATCTGCAAATTGTACTGTGTGTTCTTCACCCCAAGTCAAGTCTCCTTCCATGACCATTTATCTCCCCTGTACCCTCTTCTACCTCCCTCGGCCCCCCTTCCCCTCTGGTAACCCCCAAAGTGTTGTCTGGTCTATGAGTTTTGTTGTGTATGTTGTGTTTCATTTTTGTGGGGTTTTGTGTGTCTTTGTGCTTAATGCCCTCACCTTTTCCACCCAGCCTCCAACCCCTCTCCTCTCTGCCAGCTGCCCGTCTGTTTTCTGTATCTCAGTCTGCTTCCTTGGGGTCATTCTCATCGCCCCCTCTTGCTCCTGCTCTCCGTTTGAAAATGTAACGGCAGACATCCCAGGAGACAAACCTGTTGTGTTTGTTGCCAACAAAAGCGCAGCCGATCAGTCACGTGACAAAACGTCACTCTCTTGAAAGGAAAACCAATGGTTTCCCGAAGAGAAGCTGGTGTCATGCAACATCAAGAAGCGGACTTTGCCTCCTACAGGACGGTCTCCCCTCACCCCTGCCATCCTCAACAGACAGCCTCTTCATGGGGATACTAACACGCCTGCCGTGCACCAGGCATGAACTATCCATGCACCCAGGGACGCCGCATGCGTGATGGAGACGGTCTGACGTGTGACCTTCCTGGGGGAAATCTCACAGGAGCTGCCGCAGACCATGATGGTGTCACAGGCCAACTGGGTGCCTGGAGGGAGACGGGCGAATCTTGACACAACCTATTTTTCGCCATGCCTCCGGCGATTCCAGATCCGAGTTTATAGGTGAGCACGTCAAGTCATACATAGAACAAAGCCAACGACGCGTTGTATTCATCATCATTTGGTCTGGGTACATTTTTTCCCACCACCACCACCCCCTCCCCCAAGATTTGTGATTTAAAACGCCATGACATTTCTTCAAGGTGAAATTCTCCCCGACTTTTCAACAAGATGAGTTTGTTTCCAGCCCAAATAAATATCACCGGGTTGCAGCAAAAACTTCAGGCAGGCGCCGGCCAATGGGATGAGGGCCGTGGAAACGCCACGGCAGCAGCCCGCCCTCGGCTAATGTACTTATCCTTTTCCAAATCAATGGCATCGCTCAGCTGCGTCAGTGATTAGCAATACATCAAGAGAGCAGCATTAAAAATTGAGTCCCCTCTCCCGACGCCAGCCCGCGAAAGCACCGCTCTCCAAGTGGATGCGAGTATCATAATTATTTTATGATTCCATCTTTAGTTCTTCCCCATACGGTAAATGCGATTGACCATGAAATGAAATTTCATAGTCAAAGTGCCTCCTTTACACTTTTTTTATAGCGGCAATAACAGGCTGGTGGCTTTAAGGGGAGGTAATTCATCAGATGTTTCCTGTAAAGGCCGATTCTTCGATTATTAATAATCAATATTTACCAATTTCATAGAGTACACCTGGTAGCACGCACCATAGGGTCTTTTAACTATTTCCGGGGCTTGAATGAGCCTCGCTGAGCATCTATGAATAATGGGGAGCCCTGGCCAACTCCTTTGGGGACCAAACACCCTCTTTATTACTTCTCAGGCTCAACATGGCAAGCCTGACTGTAGAGGAAGAGACGTCCGGAACCCTCTTCCTGGGTCAAAGGGACATAAATGCCAGGAAGTCCACAGGAAACAATTCTTTGCGATGGCGGGGAACATTTATGAATAGTTAATGACCCTTTCCAGACTGTTGGCTACGTTCTTTTCCGACAAAAAAAAAGTAAAAATTAAAAAAAACAAAACCAAACCCTGATGTTCAGCTCAAGCACAAAAGATCACAAGCAAAGAAAATTATGCGGCCGCAATCCTATTTGGGAAAGTAATCTTATATTTCCGAGAGCATGCTGATTCTCCGCACCCTAATCCACTCCGTATTTTGCAACTGTCTGTTGTTATCTGGGGAATTAACCAGGAACCCGGTAAACATCACGGGCCAGGGTCCTGGCGTGCAGAGAAATATGTCAACAGGCACGGGGATCTGTGTCTTTGTTATACCAACACATCTGTTTCATTTTATCAGGGTTTTTAAAAAAGGCCTTCTCAACGATTCATCTTGTTTTAAAATGCCTGCTTAGTACCTCACCTAGACAGACACAAATGCTTTCTGTCCTATGGTGAAGAAAAAAAAAATTAAATCCCAGCAGAAGAGTTTAAAATACTTAAGGAGATTTTCCTCTGGCGATTGCCGACTATAATTGCTCACTAAGAAAAATACAACCAAAGTGATTGCATTAGCAATCTCCGCTCTCTGGAGTGCCTTATGCCATGTTTATGACAATAAATAACACAATTAGGTATATTTCCCACAATAACCGAATCTATAATTTCCTCTGCTGGTTAGAAGCGATGATTCTTTCCCCCTTTCTCTGTATCTCGGTTGGATATTTCACTTGAGGTAGGAGCAGATCGTGTATCATTACCATTTCTCAACTCTCGCCTGGGCAACCTTGCAACTCAAGTCCATCTCTCTGCTAAACCCAAGGCCGGGGAAGATGGCCTGCTTCCAAATCCATGAACCTGACTTTTAAAACATCCTTTCAAATCAGAAAGATCCTGTGGGAACGCCCACTTTCCTCTGTGACGATCAACCAACCCCGTGCCCTCTTGCCAATACCAGAGATTGATCTGGTTTCGGTGTTCACACAGCAGAAGGAGAAACAATCCACGCGTCCCCCCAGAAGACAGAACATGGATCTCAGAGCTTCGCCAGGAGAAGCACAGAGGATAAAAAAAAAACATCCAAGCAATCAGCTTGCTGCCTACCATGTGCGACCCACTGCTGTGGAGCACGCCGTCTTGTTCCACGAGATTTCTTGAGATGGTGATGGACGGAAGGTCCAGGCTCTGAGGGGGGAACTGGGGTGTGAATTCGCTGCCCTGGGAGGGCAAGGGGTCGCTGAGGCCTTGAAAGGGCAGGAGCACATCGGGGATGCCCAGGGCGGGGTCCGACTCTGGGGGAGGCGTGATTGGGGGGATCTCAAACTCCTCATCCCCGAGACTTGGTGTGTGGAATGTCTGCAAAACAAAAGGAAACAAGACACAGATATTTTCACACTCTGTTCTTATATCTTTACTTCTCCCTGGAGAGAAGCAGCAAGGTTTTTGCATGAAAACAACTCCACAGCGAGGCCAAATATTTATTTCTCCAATGGAAACGTCTTAAGCACAGATTTCCACATAGAAAGTTTTGCTGATCATTCTGATTAAAGATTTAAGTCTCATTATCATATGGTTTTAATGGAGTATCCGTATTAACAGTTTTTTAATGCGTACTTAATTAGCAGCATCTGTCTTTGTTGTTAGTTGGAGCAGCAGCGACATTAGGTTTGGCTATATAACAAATTGCCACTTTATTGATATGTTAGTGAAACAGCTCAAACCGCTCCCATTACACACATGCTTCGTAAAACGCTGACGATTTTCTGGTGCACACACACCCCCCACACGAATCCAGCAGCGAACATTACACATACTTACTCCCTGTCACAACATATCAAACAAGTCATACTAAATCTGTGGTTTGCTTTTTCAACCTCCTTATTGATATATTCCCAAGAGCAAAAAAAACCAACAACAACAACAAAACCACACACAAGAAAATGCTTCTATGGAAATTGTTACTGTCTTGTCCTACAACGTTTTATATTGAGGACTTTCTTCAGATCACCTCTTAAAATGTCCCAGTGCTTTCATTTAAACAATAGGAAGAGTTACTTCCTTTGCTCTGAAGACTTCGATAGGTATTTATCAGAACATTTTCTGCCAGTCTTCTACTTTTAACAACCATCTATAGAATGAACATAGCGATATATAGATTACAGATATACTATTTCCATTGGGGTTGCTCACTGAGGTGAGTGTTAGTTCTCAAGACCTAAGAGTAAATACTGCACTGCTTTCTTCCTTGCTACTTAGATTCTTAAAGGTGGTGTTATAAACTACGGCCTTTTGATGTAAATCAGGACAAACCACCTTTCCTAAACTTGACCTTGGATTGGGGGTAAGGAGGGTGGTCCAGGTTAGAAGGTTATTTTGGCTAGAGTGTGAAGAGGTTGTGTGGCCACTCAGATTTGTTTAATCCTCAGCTCAGAGGGCCCAATTTACAGTCTATTTATTATTAATAACATTTTTGAAGAGTGAACTGATGCAAGATCATTTGAATCTGCCCTAATTGGTTAAGAGAACTCATTTCGAGCTGAAAATCACCATTATTCAAACTAGGAATTGATAATATAATTTAACAGCCACTTGAGAGAAAATAGAAACAAAACGAAGGGGGTGGGCGTGGGGAACACCACGTTCCTTGCATACAGAACCGGTCAACTGTGGTTTTTAATCTCGCCAGAAATAAATAGGTCACAGGACAAGGGAGCTGCATGGCAGACCGTCGCACATCTCGAGGTCCTTTGTAGATTCAATGGACGCAAAACTTTATTGCACAGTAACACATTTGAAAGCTAGGATGAGACTATTAGATTTTCTGACATATTTGTTCAAATAATGACCCCGCAAAGAGGTTGATTGCTTACGCTGGTACCGAGTTCTCAAACACAAAGGGATGCGTTGGCCGCGAATGTGGTTGGCTGATGAATGCCGCCCTATGGCTGCCTTTGCTGTTATTTTGGCACTAATGTGGTGCAGTAACAGATGCAACTGTAATTTGTGACTCATTTGCTACCCCATTACTGCTTAATGAAATCTAACATATCACATTAACAATACGGATAAACACTCATTCTTGATATGTGGCATTTGGCTGTTTTCATTACCACTGTAATTAACACTTGAAATATTATTTCAATAAATATTTGAAGTCCTTTCACCATGGTCAGGGTAATCATGACACAGACAGAAAACACGCAGCCACTGTGTGAATTTCACACCCAGGGCATCCTGGTCCCCACGGGGTTAGCTCTGGGGGTTGGTTGGGGGCACAGTTTGGACTTGACTGCACCAAACCTAAAGGCTTCCTGAATTAGTCTGCGTTCACTAGGATGTAAAAAACAACAACAAAAACAAATACATTTACTGTTAATGTAGTGATGGGGAAATGAGGCACAGGCCATAATGTAGTGCGTTAACATTTACTCAGGCTTTATTTTTTGTTCCAAAAAAAAAAAAAGAAAGATGTTCTGGGAAATCATTAGATAAGATTGCCCCTTAAACTCTAGCATAAGCACATCTTACGCCAGGCAGTCAAAATTAAGGAGGTTTTCATTTTTATTTTTGCTAAGGAATACGAGATGTCATATATACTAGTATATATATAATGTCCTCAACAGCATAATTTTACAAAAGGCAAGATAATTTTTAGGTAGAATGTAGTCTACTACTTACCTATGTCATAAACCTAATAAAACCATACAATAGAATTATATTACGGTGCACAACCAAGAAAATGCTAGAATCTTCCACCACTTTCAAAGAGAGGCAATGCATTAAATACAGTGGTGAGCATTCCTTAGAGAAAAACATAACAAAAACTGGTTATCTGAGATTATAAAAGTAACCATGTACCACACACACACACACACACACACACACACACACACACACAAAGTTACTGACTTTTAGACACTCTGCCTTCTGCCCGAGATCCGATTAATCATATCGGAGTTTCGATAATGACTTCTTAGAGATATTGACTTTTCAGTGTTTACCTTGAACATGTTTAAGGAGTGCGTACATGGTTAAATACCATCTGTACTGAAATGCTCAAAACATTTGTTCCTTTTGATAAAAATGCAAATCGAGAGAACTGTTGTATCAACACATAACAGCCGATGTCTGACACGGTGAATTATCACAGCTGGAATTAAATTGTCTCCGCGCAGCTGCTGCCAGTGGCGCTTTCATCAATGTTTGATTCAAATGGACGGCAAAAAAATCCTGCAGAATGAAGCTTCGTGTTGTCCGTACAGATGGGGCTTGTGTTCATTATCACAAACAACCCGGCAGCCAGTGCCAAGCGCTATTCCCTCATCGGGCCTGTCTTCTGGGCGAGAGAGAGGATGGTCACCCTAAAAAGGGGCTCGTCTACAATCACCCTTAAATCTGGGTTCCCTGTTTTTTTTCCTAATCATTTGTCCAGGTTCACTTCTTTCATGCCAGGTGCTTCCCTGGACCAAGATTCCTGGCGAAGCCATTATGCTTAGCATCCTCTGGGGGGAAGCGGTGAAGCTTGATCCGTTTCCTATATTTGAATATACTTGGAAGATGAAGACTTTTTATTGCAGGAACTGCCAAGTGGCTCCATTTGGACCAATTTCACTGTTTTAGCTCATTTACATGAGCTAAGATCTGGAAATCGCCCAAGTGCCCATCAGTAGACGAGTGGATAAAAAGCTGTGGTACATTTACACCATGGAATACTATGCTGCTATGAAAAAGAAGGATCTCTCACCCTTTGAGGCAGCATGGAGGGACCTGGAGAATAGGATGCTAAGCGAAATAAGCCAGTCAGAGAAAGACAAATATGACATGATTCCACTTACATGTGGAATCTAATGAACAAAATAAACTGATACACAAAACAGATCCAGAGACATAGAAGCATGGAACAGACTATGGAATCTCAGAGGGAATGGGGGGCGCTGGCTGGGTGGATGGGAAGAGATCAACCAAAGAACTTGTGTGCGAATATGCACCACCCATGGACTCACACAATGGGGTGGTAAAGGCCTGCGCTTGGGGGGAGGGAGCAGGCTAGAAAGGGTCAATGGGGTGGGAAAAGATGTAGCTAAAACAAATAAAATAAAATCTTAAATCTCACAGCCTACCATTTTTAGGAAACTATTTCCTTGACCTAATCAAGATAGAAGTTTTTCTGGAGGACACACCAATGGGATTAGACAGCAGCCCTAAGTCAGTAAGACAGCGATTCGATAACAACAGCAACAAGAAGGTGTGTGTTCCATTTGCACTAGTAAACCCTACGCAAACCCACAGTACATGTGCTGCTGCCTGTACATGCCTTCCTTCAGCTTTCCTGGCTTTGGCCAAGTCTGGAGCTTGCCTATCCATTCATTCATTCATTCATACCATCAATATTTATTGAGCACCTACTATGCGCCAGGCACTGTGCTAGGCGGTGGGGATCTGACAAAAAACCAACACACTCATTTCACATCCCTCCCACCGAAGACCCAAGAAACAACCATACTGCCTGCCACATCCTTTCCCAGAACGTGGCAACTTCATGAAGTCATCCTCAGAGCTGTGTGAAGTTGAAATACTTTCATTTTAAACATGTTTTTCATTGATTTTTAGAGAAAGAGGAAGGGGGAGGGATAGAGAGGGAGAAACATCATGAGAGAGAAACATTGATCAGCTGCCTCCTGCACGCCCCCTACTGGAGATCGAGCCCTCACCCCAGGCATGTGCCCTGACCGGGAATCGAACCAGCAACCTCTTGGCTCATAGGCCGACGCTCAACCACTGAACCACACCGGCCAGGTTAACATATTGTCTATCAAAAGTCACTTCCATCCTAGTTTCCAAAATAACCACTTATCTGCTTAGGTATCAACACAGGGCGCACAGCTAGCTTTCATATCCTTCCTCACATATCTCCTTTTGTCTGCCTCTGTATTTCTTTTCATCAAGAGATGTGTGTGCATGGCTCACGTTCTCAACAGCCTTGGACGAGTGAGAGAGACCCGTCAGGCTATTTTCTTCTCCGACAGGGTTTTCTCATTTCTCCTCCTACGCCGTTGCCTCATGCCACATGAGAGAGAGAGATAAATTCCCTACTTCGCTTTCCCCTTCCAGCCTCGTAAATGACCCAAATGGCACACACACACCGTGGACAGACACACGAAGGCAGACACCTACCTCACTGGCTGCGAAGAAAGCGTTGCTTGCCTCGGCCATGTTCATGTAGTTACTGTTATTCCCAAACTGGAAGAGAGCAGATTGTCTGAGGTTAGTGCTCAGCCGGACAGCGGACGCTGGTGGTGCCCTAATGCTGGGCGGGATTTGGGAAGAATGCAATGCCGGGGTTCGGAGAGGAGAGAGGGGGTTTCCTCGGGGCGAAGGGGAACCGGGTGATACCCTGGCAGCTGGCTCCCGCAGGAAAATAAAGCACAGAGTTCCGCGAACTTGACCATCCCCAGAAAAGAGCGTTGTTTCTCATCCAGACTGATCGCAAAGGGAGGCCATCACACACCTTCCCCCACCGGCCAGGGCCTTTGTCAGAGGTTAGAAGGCAAAGAGTGTTCCCCCCAAAAAACACACCTTGACACATGTTTAAAACACGTGGGGATTTCACAGCTTTACTTTTCCAGAACAGATGTCACAAGTGTGGGTAGGCTAAGATGTGAATTAAAAGAATCCAATTCCCAGGACTCAAAATTCTATTTTCTAGCGAATGGGGTGTGGTGTGAATATCAATAAATAATCAGACCAAAGACTTTTTTTTTTTTTAAATCTCCAGGGTTTCAAGCCCTATCTCCAGCCATCGGAGCTGTTGAAAAGGGTGATATTTAATCTCTCAATGTAACATTAAGTGCAAAGAGGTTTAAAAAATAAGCGGGATCCCATGAACACAGCAATTTTTCTTTAATTCCCTCACACAATGGCCCATTCAGACCATCACAAATAAGACGGTATCCGCATTTCAGACGTAAGCTCTTTACTTCTCCAGACCAGTTATCAAAATGTAAAAAAGTTGGATTTGGGCAGAATGGGTTTTCGGGTCCGGATGGTGGGAGCGGTGCGTCTGGTGGCCTAGCGAGGTGGAAAGAGCATGGGGCATACTTCGCCGCCGTTATATTATTTTCATGATTTTTAAATGGTGAAAGGATGCCCTCCTTTTTACAAAGTGTATGATTTCCTTCCTTTCATGCATTAAATAACACGGAGGTTTGGTCTCCAAAGGGTGAAATGTGTATATCCCTTCCATTCTCTGAAGCAGTGGTTCTCCACCTTCCTATTGGCGCGCCCCTTTCATACAGTTCCTCATGTTGTGGTGACCCCCAACCATAAAATTATTTTCGTTGCTCCTTCATCACTGTAATGTTGCTACTGTTATGAATCGTCATGTAAATATCTGACATGCAGGATGTATTTTCATGGTGACAAATTGAACATAAGTAAAGCACCGTGACTCATCACAGAAAGAATATGTAATTATAGATGTGTTTTCCGATGGTCTTAGGCGACCCCTGTGAAAGGGTCGTTCGACTCCCAATAGAAATGGAAGACCCACATAAATCCCCTCCATACACCCACTAACACTTTTCTCCAGGGGGGCTCCCAGCCCCGTGACTTCTGCTCCTAAGGGACTGGCAGGCTGCACTTATCACGTCGGGGACCCACGAACTGGTATAAGCAGGGTTTATACCAAAGACCCTCATGGTTCCGGAGCGCTGCTAGGGTCCCCAGATGCACAATGCACCCTGCGAAGGGACACCTCCATACACACTCACACAACGAGCCCTCGGGTCCATTTGGACAAATACCTTTACAAGGATTTTCCCGCAAGATGTATGCGTGTGCGCTTCAGAAAGGCCGTTATCCGGCCTCTCGGAAGGCTGGGGACACCAGAAATAAAGGCAGACTCCTCTTCCAACAATCAAGGTGTGTACGTTCAGTAGGCAGGGGATTTGGGGTACGTCCATCATACCTCAATAAAACGGCTTCAAATAATTTAAAAGTTTTGGGGTAGAAAAGCGCGAGTGGGTATACACACACACACACACACACACACACACACTTTCCCCATGTTTCTACGATGCAAGAAAAGGTATAGTTTCTGTATTGGAATTCTTGATGAATCAATGATCTCAGAATTAAAATCTTGGGTCACCATTCCGCATGTTCTTTATATAAATATTTACGAGAACTTGGGTCGCGATGGGTGAATTCCAATAAATAACACGGAGGTTTGGTCTCCAAAGGGTGAAATGTGTATATCCCTTCCATTCTCTGAAGCAGTGGTTCTCCACCTTCCTATTGGCGCGCCCCTTTCATACAGTTCCTCATGTTGTGGTGACCCCCAACCATAAAATTATTTTCGTTGCTCCTTCATCACTGTAATGTTGCTACTGTTATGAATCGTCATGTAAATATCTGACATGCAGGATGTATTTTCATGGTGACAAATTGAACATAAGTAAAGCATAGTGATTCATCACAAAAACAATATGTAATTATATATGTGTTTTCCAATGGTCTTAGGCGACCCCTGTGAAAGGGTCATTCAACCCCCAAAGGGGTCGTGACCCACAGGTTGAGAACCACTGCTCTAATGTAAACAGAGCTAGTAATTATTTAAAGCAGAAGGCACAATTTTCCCAAGGAGAGCGAAGGGGGAGGAAAGGGGGAGGGGGGAGGGACACGTCGGGGACCCACGAACTGGTATAAGCAGGGTTTATACCAAAGACCCTCATGGTTCCGGAGCGCTGCTAGGGTCCCCAGATGCACAATGCACCCTGCGAAGGGACACCTCCATACACACTCACACAACGAGCCCTCGGGTCCATTTGGACAAATACCTTTACAAGGATTTTCCCGCAAGATGTATGCGTGTGCGCTTCAGAAAGGCCGTTATCCGGCCTCTCGGAAGGCTGGGGACACCAGAAATAAAGGCAGACTCCTCTTCCAACAATCAAGGTGTGTACGTTCAGTAGGCAGGGGATTTGGGGTACGTCCATCATACCTCAATAAAACGGCTTCAAATAATTTAAAAGTTTTGGGGTAGAAAAGCGCGAGTGGGTATACACACACACACACACACACACACACACACACACACTTTCCCCATGTTTCTACGATGCAAGAAAAGGTATAGTTTCTGTATTGGAATTCTTGATGAATCAATGATCTCAGAATTAAAATCTTGGGTCACCATTCCGCATGTTCTTTATATAAATATTTACGAGAACTTGGGTCGCGATGGGTGAATTCCACGCACCAATCCTGGCTCCCCAAACAGCCTATAGAACCCACTTTCACGTTATTTAAATGAAGGTTTTGTTGGGGCATTAGAAATCCATTTACAGCAAACAGCTCATTATCGCAGAGGATTTTTTTTTAAAGATTAAACTCACTTATTATCTAATAGCACCTAAAACAACACAGAAAAAAATAAAATGGCTATTAAATGAAGGGCCCAAACAATTCAAAAAACAAATTAAGCTCTGAGTGAAATAAGAACTGGGTTAGAAATCCTCCCCTGAACAGTTAGCAAGCGAATGTAATTACTGCAGGAACTACAGCTAATCAGCTGTGAATTGTCTCCATTAATTAGCATCTGCCCCGGAGAAATGAGGAAGCCCAGCAACCAGGCCAGCACCTCCACGGAGGATGAGGCAGGGATGGCGGCCCTGGCACTGCCTGGAGTCGAGCAGATGGCGCCGTGGCCCAGGTAACTGGCAAAGCTGGCACCTGAAGCACCGCCTAGAACAGCCGTGGGCAAACTACGGCCCGCGGGCCGGATCCGGCCCGTTTGAAAAGAATAAAACTAAAAAAAAAAAAAAAAAAAAGACCGTACCCTTTTATGTAATGATGTTTACTTTGAATTTATATTAGTTCACACAAACACTCCATCCATGCTTTTGTTCCGGCCCTCCAGTCCAGTTTAAGAACCCATTGTGGCCCTCGAGCCAAAAAGTGTGCCCACCCCTGGCCTAGAACCACAGGGCACGCCCCGCGTAGCTTCTGCGCCTATGCAAGGCCTCCATCAGTGGCTTTTAACTTGGCAACACTTGCCCATCCGGCAGGAACACCCATCAATCATTCCATACCGAAGCAAAGGTCTCTACGCTGTTTGGGGTAAGGTATCTCCTCCACAAAGATGGCTTCAAAGGCTGACAGGTGACAGGCAACGGTCTTCCTCCTGCCCAGGTGGCCGGGCCGCTGGTGCAGGGCGGGAGGGTCGTCAGATAAAACAGAGGACACCCAGCCCGGCCGGCGTGGCTCAGTGGGTGAGCATCGACCTATTAAACCAGGAGGTCAGGGTTCAATTCCCAGCCAGGGCACAGGCCCAGGTTGTGAGCTTGATCCCCAGTGTGGGGTGTGCAGGAGGCAGCCAATCAATGATTCTCATCATTGATGTTTCTCTCTCTCCCTCTCCCTTCCTCTCTGAAATCAATAAAAATACATACTTTGTCCCTTCCTCTCGGAAATAAAAAAAATATTTAAAATTTTTTTTCTTAAAAATTGAAAAGAAAAATAAAACAAAACAGGATACCCAGTTAAACTTGACTTTCAAATTAACAACCTTTAAAAAAATATATATAAGTATGTCCCATACACTATTTGGGATATATTTATTTATATTAAAAATTTGATTCTCTCCTTTTAGTATCAGACTTAGCTGGGTATTGTGCATTTTTATTTGTGAAATCTGACCACCCTACTGTGGGATGGGAGTGACCTGCTGAGGCAGGAAGGGCTGTCACTCCCCGTGTGAACTACCTGACCTAGTGATGCTAGTGTAGTCTTATTTATTTTATTTTTAAAATATGACCTATGGATCCTACTTGCCTTGTTTGTGTAAGAACAGATCTGATGCTTCAAGAAAAAGCACCTCTGGGGGCCAGGCCTTTAATATAATGACCTCAGGAAAATTAACTTCAACTAAATTGTGTGCAATTAGATTTATGATCTAAGAGGCAGTGACAGTGGTAAACACATTATATCACAAAGAATCCAGGGCCCCTGAGGGAGGACGGGCCCCTCACTGCGCTCACCACCGACACCCCCAGAACAACAATGTCTGGCATATTCAACACAGCCCACGATGTACTGGAGGGAGGGAGGGAGGGACAGAGAAACCCTACTTTCACTGCAGTGCCTCATAATGAGAGTGATGATGATGATGACCATCATCACCATCATGATGTGTTTGCCCAGTAAAGCCTTTTCTCCACACGTTACTGAACTTTCCTAAATGCGATGA